ATTTTATTTTTTTAATTGTTAATGAATTTCCTAAATTCTTTTTTAATTAAAACCATACCGGGGCTTACGCATTACTTAAAAAAGAAAATTACAAAGTTATTAAGGGAGAGCTTTAGCTCACTACTACTTAGAAGAGCTACAAAATAAATAATAAGAAAATCTAAGAGCTTAAAGTCCCCTCTAAACACAATTAAAAAAATATATTGCATTATTCTTTGGCGGCTAGGAGCCCGCACCCGAGAAAGAAGAAAGATCACATGAATAACCTTCAACACATTATTCACACAAAAAAAATTAACTTTCATTATAATGCTTCGATCCAACAAACCTGTACAAAAATTAATCTGCAAAGCCAAGTGGAACAACATAGCATTGCAGAGGTAATGAACAAAACCATAGTTAATATAAATATAAAGACAATATAGCAAGTTGTGGAGCCAACAAGAAGAAAGCCAACATTAAGAGACATTCCTGAATTTCCTAAAATTATTGGAGATTTCTAGGGCAGAAATTCGGGATTGCTAACAAGGTCATCAAATGAACTCCAAACTTTACCAAATTAAATTCATTTCCCACTAATAATATAATGATCATGTGATAAAAGTTTGGAGGCAATTGTATTAGTTATTGAGTTTCTTTATTTTTTTTCCTAAAATGTTCAACCCTAATCACTATTTTTTTCCCTAGGGTAGACTAGAGTTTGGATTGAGGTGGAATTAGGGGTCATTTAACACCTATATACAAAAGTCTGACATCTACAAAATATTCATTCACAAAACACTATGGATTTTGAGTTATCAAATTTTAAATTTTAGGTCAAAATCCTAGTCTAAATTTCCAATTTTCATTTGGGCTAAAACTGATTCCAAATTCACTAGGAATATTTTTGAAAGGCTCGAAACATCTCATAATTTCATCCCTATAAAATTGGGGCTAATTGGAATTGATTAAATGAAATACTTAGCCAATTAGGATTCTATTATATTAATTAAATAATGTATAGATCACTAAATAATTAGCCCCAATGTTCTACTCATTGGATAGTGCTCTCTATCCTAAATTCATAGAACACTCAATTTGGCCCATTGGATACTGAGCAATCAATTTCTGAAATTGTAGCATTTTAAAATCCTTTAAAATTTCCAAATCTAAAAATTTACATAGTAAGTAACCGATTAGCATGCTCTTTGCACGCTAAACATGCTATTTGGCAACTTGATTCATGGCAGGTGATAAATTAGATTGAATGATATATGTTCAATATGAGATTGAATGGGTACCATTCAAAGAGATAAATCGTGGGAAGGTCAAATAAGAATATATTAAAAAAAATCAGAGTAGTGAAAACAAAGTATACGAAAAATATAACATCCGGTCTTAAATAGTGGTCGTTCATGCAAATCACATTGATCCAAGAGATCTAACTTATCAAATGGATCAAATTTGATCCATGAGGAAACTCAACTATGCAACGGTCAAATGGCCATAGGGTGAAGATTTTCTTCATAAAGATTCATACCACTAAACTAGGGAACTTGAGTTTGAAATTTACCTAAGATGAGTAGTGTAATGAAGGAGTTTTTGTTCCTTTGAGTTCATGGACATATAGGGAGAAACTTTACTGAAGAATCAAGGAGCTAAGGAGGGTTGAGTTGAAAATTGGATTTCTACCATAAAATCCTTATTGGAGCTCAATCGACTGACCTCTCTAATGCACCAAAATGGATGGAAAAGTTTAAGGTAGCTAGGGTTTCCTCTAGGGTAGGTGCTTCAATAAAAAGGAGGCAATGGAAGGCTATAAGCAACGAAAATCATAATGATATTCTTTTTATTATATATAATCCTATATAGCCATTTGGGGAAAGTCTGGAGGATCTGGATTGATCAAGATTGCTCCTCAAGATAATGCCATTAGGACTATATCATTTGGAGGCATGGTAGAGAAGCAAAGGGTTATTTTTAATGGGTTTGGGTTTTGGTTGTGTGTGGTTGAGCTTTTTACTAGGCAATAGGCTTAGGCCTAGTGGCTGGCCAACTAAGAAAATGCTTGGAAGATTATGGGGGCCCAAAGGAATGTAATGGAAGCGTTGGGCAAGAAGATTTGGACTAAATCAAATTTAAGGCCATTTGGGTTCCCTTTGGGCTAGCCCAAAGGTTAGCCTAGGTTAAACTCAGGGGTGGGATGGCTAGTTTAGGATGTTTTGTTGCTATTTGAATTTATTATTTTAATTAAATAATGTATAGATCACTGAATAATTAGCCCCAATGTTCTACTCATTGGATAGTGCTCTCTATCCTAAATTCATAGAACACTCAATTTGGCCCATTGGATACTGAGCAATCAATTTCTGAAATTGTAGCATTTTAAAATCCTTTAAAATTTCCAAATCTAAAAATTTACATACTAACCGATTAGCATGCTCTTTGCACGCTAAACATGCTATTTGGCAACTTGATTCTTGGCGGGTGATAAATTAGAATGAATGATATATGTTCAATCTGAGATTGAATGGGTACCATTCAAAGAGATAAATTGTGGGAAGGTTTAATGAGAATATATTAAAAAAAATCAGAGAAGTGAAAACAAAGTATACGAAAAATATAACATCCGGTCTTAAATAGTGGTCGTTCATGCAAATCACATTGATCCAAGAGATCTAACTTATCAAATGGATCAAATTTGATCCATGAGGAAAATCAACTATGCAACGGTCAAATGGCCATAGGGTGAAGATTTTCTTCATAAAGATTCATACCACTAAACTAGGGAACTTGAGTTTGAAATTTACCTAAGGAGAGTGGTGTAATGAAGGAGTTTTTGTTCCTTTGAGTTCATGGACATATAGGGAGAAACTTTACTGAAGAATCAAGGAGCTAAGGAGGGTTGAGTTGAAAATTGGATTTCTACCATAAAATCCTTATTGGAGCTCAATCGACTGACCTCTCTAATGCACCAAAATGGCTGGAAAAGTTTAAGGTAGCTAGGGTTCCTCTAAGGTAGGTGCTTCAATAAAAAGGAGGCAATGGAAGGCTATAAGCAATGAAAATCATAATGATATTCTTTTTTATATATATAATCATATATAGCCATTTGGGGAAAGTCTGGATGATCTGGATTGATCAAGATTGCTCCTCAAGATAATGCCATTAGGACTATATCATTTGGAGGCATGGTAGAGAAGCAAAGGGTTATTTTTAATGGGTTTGGGTTTTGGTTGTGTGAGGTTGAGCTTTTTACTAGGCAATAGGCTTAGGCCTAGTGGCTGGCCAACTAATAAAATGCTTGGAAAGGTTATGGGGGCCCAAAGGAATGAAATGGAAGAGTTGGGAAAGACGATTTGGACTAAATCAAATTTAAGGCCATTTGGGTTCCCTTTGGGCTAGCCCAAAGGTTAGCCTAGGTTAAACTTAGGGGTGGGATGGCTAGTTTAGGATGTTTTGTTGTTATTTGAATTTATTATTTTAATTAAATAATGTAAAGATCACTGAATAATTAGCCCCAATGTTCTACTCATTGAATAGTGCTCTCTATCCTAAATTCATAGAACACTCAATTTGGCCCATTGGATACTGAGCAATCAATTTCTGAAATTGTAGCATTTTAAAATCATTTAAAATTTCCAAATCTAAAAATTTACATAGTAACCGATTAGCATGCTCTTTGCACGCTAAACATGCTATTTGGCAACTTGATTCATGGCGGGTGATAAATTAGAATGAATGATATATGTTCAATATGAGATTGAATGGGTACCATTCAAAGAGATAAATTGTGGGAAGGTCAAATGAGAATATATTAAAAAAAATCATAGTAGTGAAAACAAAGTATACGAAAAATATAACATCCGGTAAACTATAGTCAACCATTGGGTCTAATGGGGTCTAATACATTCAAGAAAATGGTTTAATATGTTAATAAGTCACGGCATAACATGGGTTGAGTTTAATTATATGAAAGGGTGTTTGGGTTAAATGGGTTAAATATGGTCAACTTGGTCAAACATGGTCAATCATGAGGGATCAAGTGGCCAAATGGATTTAATTGGGTTTAGTGAAGTGTATAGAAGACATAGAATGTGGATTTTTGGTTTGGGTTTAGCTTGATAGAGGGAAAGGTCATTTTATACATAAAAGTGCTTCTTGGTAATTTTAATTTTAATCATGGTCAAAGAGTGACCATGGATTAAATGAGATCTAGGATGAATTAAATGATTGTTTAAAATATTAAATGTTGGATAGACAAGATGCCAAATTTAAACTTCTTTAACCAATTCAAAGTGTCTTAATGAAATCAAAATATAGTTAATGCATAAATCTCATTAACATGAGTTCATGTTTGATTTCTTTGGTTGATAAAGTATGTGCCTGGCTAGAGATTGTGTGTGTGTGTCTGAGAGAGAGAGAGAGAGCATGATGTAGGTGGAAGAAGAAGAAACTTAAGAGCTAAACCCTCAAGAACGGAATCTTTGGGATCCTAATATAACTCACTTCCCCTCTTTATAAGCTTCCAAGGTTTTCACTATTGAAGGGGCATCATGGAGCATGTTTGCCAAGTGTCCTTACTAATGAAAAGGATGTTGAATACATAACACGTGTCATCTGATTGTTGCGTTGGGTGATTCAAAATCTTATCACGCTGTAGTATATGTGATATAATTGTAACATGTGTCGTAGTTGTCAACCTCATTCGACTAAAGTAGTAATCCGAGAAGTTTAAGGCAATATATAAAAAGATTACATTGATATTATTATATAAGCATTTTTAAAAATGTAGTAAAAAAAAATTGAAAATTCATTTTACTATTAGTCAAACATTAAAAAAAATTGATTTCTTAAATTATTTTACAACGAAACAATCACCCTAAATATTCTAAATATTTTTTTACTATCAACCTTATTTCATTTATTTAATTTATAATATATTTAAAATATACATGTATTTTAATACTTACAACCAAATAACGCCTAAACATACTGGCCAATATAAGTTGAACATGAGCTAATCACAACCATCACTTTTCTTGTATTCTAATCCTCACGCTCTATTCCCCAATGCATGCGAAATTTAACAATAATACAATTTCAAACTAAGAAACCATAAAATAAATAAAAAAACCCAAATCATACATAATGCCTTTTCAACCAATTCCAAATGACAAACATTCAAAGCCTAGTAGCTCTTATGCTGTTTGATTGTAGCAAGCCATTGTGATAGGAAGAGGAGGATCAGAAAAAGCCCCTTGTGATATTTGTCCAAAAATCCATTGATTTGCAGCTTGCGTGTAATGGACTCCATCCCAGTTGATACGCTTAAGGGGATCTTTGCATGAGTTTGCAAGAATAATTTCTGTTCCATTTACTACAGTTTTGGATCCACAGCCTATCGTTCTGTTGTAGTTGTAAGCTCCACCATGGCCACAACAAGCCATAAGTGGGTGTTCAAATCCTGAAAATATTGATAAAAATGTTAGGATAAATAACAATATAATTAAGAAGAATGAGTTAAGGAATAGTTAAATTTGAGTGGATCGTGTAAATTATGTTGAAAATAAATTAATTAGAAATAAATCTAGGTGATTTAGTGATGTATAATGAAGGATAGAAAATACAGTTATTAGAAGAACAGCAAAAATTATTACTCGAGGATTAAGATGAAGAACGATTAGTTTTAAGATAACATAGATGCAAAATTTTAAAAATTATTGACGGATTATGCTTTCGTTCTTGAGAAACACTCAACATGCTAAATGAAAAAAGAGGATTCATAAAACTGACAGCTGACACAAATAATTGGGCAGTCTAACAATTATTATAAGTTTAATGGTATATCATCCAAATTTTTTAGTATTAATGCAAGATCATTGTAATTATTAGCATACGCTACAACAACAATAGCTACAGTAGCTTCTTCTTCATCTCCGGTAGCAATAGCTACAGCAACAAACCATGGCTCCACTAACGCTCCAACGGCTTCTGACATCTAGACCACATGGAATGATCATAGTGGTGTTAATAATAACAAACCAACCAATCACCTCCTTACACGTGTCATTAGCTTTAGTTATAAATACTCACTGTAGCAACTAAACCTAATGAATGAAATACAGTGAAATTGCTCAAAGGTTTCTCCTCAGTTTTCCTCTGCATTATCTTTGTCTTGCAGGTTGAAGAAATCCTTCTATGTAATTCTTCATGGTATCAGAGCAGGACTGAGGAAGCCTCCTCAACACCATGCAAACGACATCAATGGCACAGTCCGCATCATCTCAAACGGAGAATCAGTCAGCAAAACTGACTGTCAAATCTCCGAGCTTCCCTAAAGCTTGTTCTCTCAAACATCAAGACGATCATCCCAGAGCCTCTTTCAAGTGAAAACTATCCAAACTGGAAGTCTCAGAATCTAAAGCTTCTCCGAGCAAATGGCTTTTCTCAGTTTCTGGACAACTCAGTTTAGAAACCTTCTCGTCTTCATCAGCACATCGACAGAAGCACAGAGCTCAATCCAGAATACACTCAATGGCTTCTCGTCGACCAGAACTTAGCAGCCGCATTATGCTCTACAATCTCCTCATCGATACTACCATATGTTCTCCATCTCGATAGATGCTCAGACATATGGCTCACTCTTAAGCAGTGACTCCAAGCAGCAAACAGATCCAGAGTCATACAACTTAAAAATGAATTGCAAAATATTTCGATGAGCAATCTATCTATGGCTCAATACCTTACCTCAGTTAAAACTCTGGTTGATAACATTGCAGCCGCCGGCTCCAATGTGGATCCTGAAGACATTATACTGCATACTCTGAATGGACTTCCGCAATCCTATCAAGCATTTAAAACGTCCATTCGTACAAAACAAAGTCCAATATCTCTTGATGAACTATACTCCTACCTCCTCACTGAAGAAATTACACTGGCTGTCGAATCTGTTAGCTTGAATCAGCAAACCGATCCAACTACAGCACTATATGCATCACGCGGTCGTGGACGTCGGGGTCGAGGAGGATCCCCATACAGCAACTCTACCCGTGGCAGATCAACTTCATCACCACCAGTCACTTGCCAAATCTCACCAAACAGGGCCATATAGCCTCACAATGCTGGCATCGTCTGGATGTCAATTTTGTTCCGAGCAAGCACTCCATCCCAGGACTGGTACATTGATTCGGGCGCATCATCTCACATTACCAACTCCCTTGACAACTTATCTCAACCGGCATTATACCAAGGGGCGAACAACATCACTGTTGGCAATGGACAGAATCTACACATCGCTCATTCAAGTCCCAGACTTCTACCCACTCCCACCAGTAAGCTATCCCTATCTCAAATCTATCACGTTCCATCGATATCCCACAATCTAATTTATGTTTCATCTCTCGCACATGATAACAATGTTTCCATTACCTTCTCACCGCTCGGCTTCACCATTAAGGACCTGAAGACTCAAGCAACTCTTCTTCAGGGCACCTGCCGCAATGGCCTCTACACAATTAAACTACCGTCAGCAACCCCTGCGCCTTCAGCTCACTCAGCTATCTCTTCCTCCAACAATCGCTGGCATCGTCGTCTTGGACATCCGCACCATCAAACACTTCAACTTATAGCATCCCAACACAGAGATCTCAATATATCTACTACTATCAATTTCTGCTCTACATGTACGGCTTCTAAAAGCCATAAACTATCCTTTTCAAGTTCTTCCAATGTAACTACTTCTCAGTTAGCTCTACTTCACCTTGATGTATGGGGACCTTCCCCCACAATATCTAATCAAGACTATCGTTATTTTCTTCTTATAATTGAGGACTATTCGAGATACACATGGCCATTTCTTACGAGAAACAAATTAGAAGTACCTAACATAGTAATACACTTTAAAACCTTCATTGAGAACCAACTCAAACAATGTATAAGAAGCATACGTACCGACGGTGGCACCGAGTTCTTAAACTCCACCTTCAAAACCTTCATCCAAAACAATGGCATAGACCACCAAATTGCGTGTCCCTATACGCCGGAACAAAACGGAATTGAGGAACACAAAAACCGTCATATGGTGGAAACTACCAGGACGCTCCTACACACGGCCAAGCTTCCCCCAACCTTCTGGCCGGATGCTATACTCACTACTGCACACCTCATAAACCGTATGCCATCTCCCACTGTCCAGAACAAATCCCCATTTCAATTACTCCATAACAAGCCCCCAAATTACTCACATCTCAAGGTATTTGGCTGTGCTTGTTACCCCTGGCTCCCTCCTCAAAGAACCAAATTAGAACCAAGAGCTCTCTCCTTCATCTTTCTCGGCTATCATGATTCATACAAAGGATACAAGTGTTTTCACCTTCCTACCAACAAAATCATCATCTCCAGACATGTCGTCTTTGATGAAGATGATTTTCCATACACAAATCCCCTCAACACCACATCTAACTCCCCACCACTCCAGTTTCCTACATCTAATCCTCGCCTCCTCATACCAACATCAACTATAACAGCAGTCGCTACTCCCCCACCTCTCACCCCAGCATGCCCACTACCTCAATCCCCCAATCCTTTCAATCCCTCTCCCCATAACCAATCTTCTTATGCTGACAGTCTTACACCACCACCAGCCCCTGTTCCTAACTCTCATCCAATGCTCACACGATTAAAATCAGGATCCTTAAAACCAAAATCTATCATGAATTTTCTTCATAGCACATACTCTCAACTACCCACTGATCCCCTTCTTACAATGAAGCTTCCAAATCATCTCACTGGAGGTCTGCCATGGCCACTGAATTCTTAGATTTGTAGCTACAAGGCACATGGACCCTTGTGCCAGCACCTGCCAACTCCAACATTCTTGGTTGTCGCTGGACCTACAGAACCAAACGCCACTCAAACGGAAATATTGCTCGGTATAAGGCACGGCTTGTGGCCCAAGGACATCAACAAGAGTATGGCATAGACTATCACGATTCCTTCAGTCCTGTAGCCAAAATGCCGACCATCAGGATCCTTCTAACCATCGCAATGTCGCACAAATGGCCAATTCATCAAATGGACGTTGCGAATGCGTTCCTACATGGTGACTTACATGAAACCGTATATATGTCCCAACCACGGGGCTTCGAAGACAGTCTCCATCCCAGCCATGTCTGTCTTCTCAAAAAGACCATCTACGGCCTCAAGCAAGCCCCACGGCAATGGTTCAACACCTTCTCTGCCTATCTTCTCTCCTGTGGTTTTAGCCATAGCCAATCCGATCACTCTGTTCTAACCCTTTCCAAAGCTCAACTCAAAATCTATCTTGTCATCTACGTAGATGACATTCTTATCACCGGCACGGACGATACAACAACAAAAACAACATCAAGCCTTTATCCCACTACGTGGGGTCGGCTACATGAATCCTTTTTCTCCATTGTGTCCTATTAAAAGTCAAATTCTCGTTTAAATCTAATAAAGAAAGGTCATTCCTAATATTTTCTAACCAAGTCTTTTTAGGTCTACCCCTACCTTTCTTAACATAAGTCAAATTTAATACCTCTACTCTCCTAACCGGGTCATCGAAAGGCCGCCGTTTTATGTGACCAAACCATCTAAGACGACTTTCTCTAATCTTATCTTCTACTGGAGCTACTCCAACCATTTCACGTATATGCTCATTTTGTATCCTATCTCTAAGGGTAAAGCCACTCACCCACCTGAGCATCCTCATCTCTGCCAAAAATTTTCTTCATGATAAAAGAAAAAGAAAAATGAATCATGGCACCCCAAGAATTTGGTTTACATGAAAAATAATAGGGCCTTGATTTTGAGATACAACCATCGTGAAAGCATTAATTAAATTTCTTAAGATAACATATATGATGCTAACGAGAAGTTAACAATGAAATCGAATGATGAATCGAATAAAGATATTGAATTAGCATTTCATGAAGAGGAGCTTACATATATTATTGTGCTGAAATATGTCCATGAAAGAAACTAAATGAACATGAAAAGGACGATAGTTTTATTTACAAATTTAAGGCCAATCACACTTGCAAGTGGACATGAAATTGATGAAGGTGATGAAAAAGATTATGACATGGAGAAGACTGCAAAGAATAAAAAGAATTTAAATATGGGATTTACAAATGAACTATTTCTTATGTTTTGAATCTAAACTTCAAAGTTTAATATTTTGTTCTAACATCATCAATCATTATAACCTTGATAGTTATAGTTATAACTTAATTTCTTTCTTTGTCATGCTAATCATTCGTTAACCATCATGAATGTTAAAGCAATATCATATATTGTTATATATCACTAGTTGTGCTTTTTCACTCTAAGGATCTCCTCTCTATTGCATTTTTTAATTACTAATAACTTACTCATGATTTTTTTATGCTTAGCATAAATTCTAAAAAAAAGCATGCGTTAAATTATAGACTATGCACTAGT